ATATATATATATATATATATATATATATATATATATATATACTTGGTAATTATAATTAATATTTGTGTATATGAATTCCACAAATGAGTTATATGTTTTTATTTTAAAATGTTGACTAAGTTGTAGAATTCAATTTGGAATTGAATTCCATAAATGAGTTACATGTTTTTATTTTAAAAGTATGACTAAGTTGTAGAATTCAATTTATAATTGAATTCCATAAATGAGTTACATGTTTTTATTTTAAAAGTATGACTAAGTTGTAGAATTCAATTTAGAATTGAATTCCATAGATGCGTTACATGTTTTTTAAATATTTACCATAAGGCATATGATTTGTATTTTTCAATAAAAATTATGTGTATATATATATGTGTAAGTCCTAATTAAGAATTAGGGAAATATAGATCTTATATATATTGTAAAGTCATGTAAAAATCAAGAGAATTATTCTTGAGAACAAAATTGCTTTGAGAAAGTAATAGTGTAACACAAAGCCAAGATAGAAAATATTAGTACAAGAAAATTATTTCTTGTTCTTCTACCTTTGAGTTGAGATTTTTGAGAAAAATTTCAACACAATATTTTCATTCAATTTGTTCGCGGGATTTCATTGATCAAAGAGTTGATAGCAATGATCAGTCTCGGTGTGGATATGCATAGAGTCTTCGCACTATCGAAGAAATTTAAAACGAGACTTTTTTCATCAGGTACGTCTTAGATCCGATCTTTGACATGCAAAATAAATTTTAAACACAAAAAGATCTGCCTAGGATTGTTATTGTCTTCCGTTGTGTGTTATGAACACTTATGTGCAATCCATCATAAGCATGTTATGCCGGGCCATTCTGTAAGAGCTCTGAATTTTATTCTTGTGTTATAAATATATAGAATCTGGCCAACTACTTTTGTCACCATGGTATCCAGGAAAAACTTATCTACATTCTGTTTACACTAATCTATTGAATTCATAATATTCTTCTTCACATACATTGTTTTTACTAAATCATTAACTAATACACATTGTTCTCACTTTAATTTATCATTTAACCATGGTAAATTAATATGATTTGATGAAAACACGGCCTGTATATATATTGACTTGAATCCATCCAGCATCTCACCAAAAATCAATCTTTCTCCATTTTGAAGAGAGATTATCAGAAGCCATCTAAGAAATTTGTAACTTTGGGTATGTCCATCTTTATTTTTGTACTAAAATGAGTTTTTAATGCCCTAGGTTTGTCACTATCACCAATTCCCTAAGTTAAAAAAAAAGGAAAAGGAAAAGGAAAAATGAAATGCTTCACTGCTTTCATTGCTACAAGACAGAAATATTTGTACTGAAAATGATAAACAGGAATATTTGGTACAAGATGTATTACAAGAAAATGGTCATATTACAAGAATACAGGAAAGGGGAAATCAAAAGTATAATTATGCAACTGTCTTATTCATCCTTTCATATCGTAAAATGCAAAATTATGAACTGCCCTACTTAAACCAATACGTAATTGTTTTCTGTTATTCACCAGCTTTATTTGGACCAGACCACCAACTCCACAATAGTCAAGCCACTCGGCCAGAATTAATCTTCAATTCCTCCTTGAGATTCTCTTTCTCCAATAATATATATATCTGAATAAAAGCAAAAGAAAAATGGGCGGGCTGCTTTCTGTAAAAAGTAAGCACGCCGCTGCCTAAGAACCCAAGAACTCTAAAATCATATTCTTTGAGCATTTTCTGTATTTCAGAACTGAGTGTGGCTTGAGAATGTCTGTCCAAATTTCCAACCAGCTGGAACAACATTTAAGAATGTTTTTGTGACACCATCGGTGGTAGTGACCTTAAAAGATATAGATTGTCCATCAAGATATGCATTGGATTGCCAACTTGCTCCCCAATTCCTAGACATGGACAACCAGTTTGTGTTTGAGCCTTTGATTTGAACAGATTGAACAGATCCAGCCCCTGCTACATTGCTTACCAAGACTAGTTCAAAATAGTCTCTTCCATTGATTGTGAATCTAACTCCATGCTTCTTCTTGCAAGGAACCCTGCTCCACAAAAACCATCAAGTATGTCAAATGAACTTGTCTGTTAAAAATGTAAAGGACTCAGAGATGAAGCTACGATTTGAAGTTTATGGGTTCAGTATTCTAGTCTTTTTAAGTTACTGAGTTCTAAAATAAGAATTTGTACATATTAAATAAATTTTATAAGGTGATAACATTTATATGAGATGTTATAACACCCTAAGAAGGGTGAAGTGTGAACAATATAACGTGGAGGCCTAATATTGGGTAATTAAATCAAGAAATACGAATATACATGCCTCTTATACCATATAAAGAAATGGATATTGGACCTAACTCAATCTCAAAATTAGCATATTAGATGAGAATTGCCGAGACTATATGAGGAGACAATGTTCCATTCCCTCAATCAAAACGGAATGTTCTAACATTATCTTTAGAACTTTACTACTATTAATCTTGCCAAGGATCTTGACAACACTTAATGGAACTAATCTCATTTAGAATCAAGATTGTGTCATTTTATGGACTAATAATATGTAAACGAAGAATGAGGACTACCTTTTGTAGAGCACAGGAACAATGCCTCCTTTGTAAATGCCAATCTTTTCCCAAGCAGGTTGAGCCATGTCAAAATGAGGACGAGGGGGATTGCACCAGCCTCCATTGTTACTAGGAAGATTGTAATTTGGTGGGCAAAAGTTTGTAGCTGTAATTGTAACAGACACTCCCTTCTTGCACCACGCCGGGTCTGCCTTATAATCACAGATGATCTTGTAGCATTGGCCACAGGATCCTCCATCATTGAACAATGCAGTGCTCAATGCTGCTGTCCTTGTTCCATACCCTGTTGAATACAAGTTTCCATATCCACAAGCACCCCCTACAAAAATACCAAATCACTTGTTAATTATTAATCAAGATTCTAGTCAATTACAAGGTCTAAGTATGATGTTGAGAATGTTGTGTCTTTAGAGATGGATCCCGAAATATAAGTAGTGGGTGCACCTGGTCTCGAATGGAGTAAAAGAAATTTTAAAGATTGTTTTTGATAATATGTGTATGTATAGAAGAGGTGCACCTATTACGTTAAAATCTTGGATCCGTCTCTGAATACCTACCCATTGTGCCAGAAGCATCAGCTCCACCGTAAAATGTGGCATGAGCACTTGACCATCCAGAATCTGCTGAAAAACCATTTGCACTTAAGAAAAGGGTGCACAAACACATTATGAATCCCAGTGTTAGAATGCCATTGTTGGCCATTTTCTTAGTGGAAGAAAATTGAGGAATTGGAACTATGATAAACTTTTCTGCAGTACTGACATAACCAAGAAAAGTAATTGCTACTTAAATAGGTGCACTGTTTATTGAATACAACCACCTCACATGTGATCGCTGCAACTAGGGGGGGGGGGGAGAAAAAAAAAAAAGAACTTTTAATATAAAATTGAATTATCTCTGAAGAAAACTGAAGATTTCAGACCTCATTCAATTATTCCCACGTTCAACTTCGTAGCCCACATGGTTTTCCCAAGTGAGAAGCTGTGAATGCATCAAAAACTTATCTCAATTTCAATTTGTTCAATTTGTCATATTTTTCTAATGTTCTTTCTTGGTTCCTTACGAAATAAAGCTAGCTAACACATTCAGTGTTCCATTACCAAGTAGAGAATAATTCTTCTGTCAAATTGTGATGTTACCTCACATGGCTTTGATTGACCTACATGCTTCTGAGTTCTGTCTTATCATTATTATCTGTAAATGCACATGTGGTGAGGCCTCTGTCATTTGTATACTTGTTTTCCAAGTCTAATTTAATAGGAGCATTTTATTATAGCTAGGGAGCTGCTTATTACTTTCTACATCAGATATTAACTAGGAGTACAGCTTAATAATCATTACTTACCAAAAAGAGATTGTCGCCTAAGATCCATGTATAAAATGAATGTCATTATGTCACTATTACTTAATATTTGAAGAGTCACACAGTATTTTCATTTTTTATGATTTGTAATTTTTTAAAATACAATTTAATTATAAGAACTGTGATTTATGATACTTTTCATATATGATATCTAAATATGCAAAGTATGTTGTAATAAACTTAAGAAACAATCTAATTTCTAAATATACAAAAGTAGGCTTAATAAACTTAAGAAACTTACGTCTGAGACGCACTGAAAAATAGGGCATTAATTCTTGCCCATCGTATTCTGTCCGTGACAGATGGAGTAATATTTCCTGGAAAATGGAAATCTATCCATCTAGATAAATCCAAAGTTAAATTAAATCGCAAATAAAATCACCTTAAAAATCGATTTGTAATTGATTTGGTACTCTTTGGTGTAAACTTAAAAAAAGAAACTTTAACTTAATTTGATATATTAAGCTAGAAAAGGATGAAGACTGAAGCGAAATCGAACTAAATTGACACATCTCTGCCACTTCGTTAATTTTAATTTATATATATATAAGCTATTTTTATAGAAAATTTTAAATAAATGGCTCATCGTACGTGGGTTGCAATCGTTTTAATGGTAATTAGACATATTCATGATCCTTGTTCTACTCTTCTTCTTTTGAAAATTGGCTTATTGTCGGCCAAGACTAACTCATACTCGTTGTTTATACCAACTCAATAAATACATGAAATATGTCTTCGCACTCTTATTACTAAATTATAATTTAATTAACCTATACATTCTCATCTTAATATATAACTTTAAAAAAAGATAGCGCGTACACAAAGCATCTCGCATTCATGCAGAGTCCGGGGAAGGGGTCTACCCTAATGCAAGCATTAGCGACTGATTTCACATCTCTAACTCGTAACTTACAGGTCACAAGAAGATAACTTTATCATTGCTCTAAACTAAGACTCCCCTTTACCTTAATGTATAACTTAATCATGGTAATTAAATATTAGTAGGCTTCTTGGCGCAGCATTTTGTAACACATGTTTGAAGGAATCACGTGAATCTGCATCTTCATTAGTATAGCCAAATTAAACAAAGAAATTAATCCAATTAATCAGATTAACGTCTTGTGTGGTCGGCATTTGTTGGCTGATCGTGCGTTTTCATGATAGATTCCAAGTTGTTACCTTAAGAGACAACAGGGCGTGTTTGTGGAGAAAAAGAAGAGAGTTTCTTTAGATCCTTAGACTTTATTGATAAAAAATAAGTTAATGATATATCCTTGAACATGAAAAAATTTAATTTGTTTCAAATCTTAACAACTATGAACTGTACATGTGATTATCTTCTCCACCATAAAGCACATCAAAGTTGATTCTAAATTTCAATAAACCATTTGTTGGGATTAAAAGATTGGTGAATGGGAAATGGAAGAAAGAAAGTAAAGGGAAAGTGAGCTCCCTTTTGCTTTGGAAAAGAGCAAGTGTCTCTCATTGGTGGTGGAAAGAAAAGTGAATGTGCTTATATTGAGAAAGCACTTCTCTTGGTGTTAACTAGGTTGGAAAGAAAGTAAGTCTCGCGCCGTCGTCGTCGCTTGGCTTCGGCTTTGGATATTTTAAACGGAATCCTTCTCGCCTGTTCCAACAGCCATGGCTGTTTCTTAAAGGTTGCAAACCTTTTCAGAAACAATATCAGAAAATGGCTATAAATATGCCTTGATCCCAGAATTTTCTGATCTTCTTCTTCTTCTTTTTCTGCACAAAATTTTCCAGTGTATTTAACAACCTTCAAGTGGTTCGCTGTTTCACCGACATTTTTGGTACGGATACTCTGGTGAGTTAAATCGTTATATCCTAGGAGGATAATATTCCAACACTTCGGGTACTTGAGGGGAATAATTTCCTTAAGGACACACTGTGCATTCAGTGGGCTCGATATTATTTCGAAATTTATTTTCAGATTCTGCTTCTGATTATATACATTTCTGCTATACTACTGCTTTTCTGTTTCTGTTTTTCCTGTTACAGAAATATTACTGTTTCTTTATATTATAGCATTACAGTTTGGTTAATAATCTTATGGAAATTATTAATATACTTTAATCTATATTCTGCTTTGGAGATTAAAACTTTTGTTGTTTTCTACTCCGTCTGAATTTTTCTATTTCTGATTTGAAGATGTAAAAACTTCATCGGAGTATTAAAATTCATAAACGATTTGAAGAACATAAAAACTTCATCGTTTTATTGTGAAACAATATATACAAAACTTCGATTTTTGTTTATTAAACGTATTGTTTATCATTAATTACAGTACTCTTTACTGTTCTATTTTCTGCTATTAATTGAACTCTTCTGTTGTGGACAGTGAGAAATGGCAATTGATAATGAAAATTCTTCTACGACTGTTGCGGCAATGACGATAGCCTCGTCAAGCCGAACTGTTGTACCACCGGCGAAAAAATCGGGGAAATTTTCGGGAGCCAATTTCAAAGGATGGCAGCAAAGGGTATTCTTTTGGCTTACCACACCTGGTATGCAGAAGTTCACCGGTGAAGACCCTCAAGTGCCTGCCGCTGACATGCCAGACAATGAGAAATTTATGATTGTTGAGGCGTGGAAACAGGCAGACTATCTTTTCAAAGGCTACATCCTAAGTGCTTTGGAGGATGACTTGTACAATGTCTACAGTGATATGAAAACTTCAAAAGAATTATGGGACGCACTTGAGAAAAAGTACTAGACTGAAGATGCATGCTTGAAAAAGTTTGTGGTTGCCAAGTTTGTAGACTATAAAATGATAGACATTAAAACCATTGGAACCCAAGTTCAAGAGCTTTAACTTATTTTTTACGACCTTATTGCTGAAGGTATGGTAGTAAATGAAGCATTTCAAGTGACTGCAATGATTGAAAAGTTACCTCCTTCGTGGAGAGATTTCAAAAATCATCTAAAGATTGAGGAAGATAACAAAACAGCCGAGAAGAAGTCTCGTGGAAATTCAACGATCATGGGAGCTAATATCGTTGAGGAGACTGCTCCAAAAAGTAAGAAGAGGAAGAGCTCTTCTGGACAGACTAAGGAGCAGAACAAGAAGAAATTCAAGGGCAATAACTAGAATTGTGGAAAAGCTAGTCACAAATCCCCTGATTGTCGTCTCCCAAAAAAGGACAGGAAAAAGGGACAAGCCAACATAGTGGAGAAAAATGATGACATTGATGATCTGTGTGCAATGCTTTCAAATACAACTTAGTTGAAAATCCGAAGGAGTGGTGGATTGACTCTGGAGCCACTCGACATATTTGTGCTGTCAAGGAAGCATTTGCAACTTACTCTACTGTTGGTCCTGAAGAAAAGCTTTTCATGGAAAATACTGCAACATCCAAGATTGAGGGTTATGGGAAGATATTCATGAAGATGATGACTTTCGACAAGGTGTTAACGCTCAACAACGTTCTTCATGTTCCTACTATTAGGAAAAATTTAGTTTCATCTTCTTTACTTGTTAAGAATGAATTCAAATATGTATTTGTATCTGACAAAGTTGTTGTAAGCAAGAATGATATGTATGTTGGAAATGGCTACCTCACAGAGGGCCTTTTCAAACTCAATATAATGGTTGTTGACAGTACTAATAAACTTTCAGCTTCTTCTTATTTATTGGAATTAAATAATTTATGGCATATTCGTTTAGAACATGTCAATTACAAAACCTTGTGGAAGTTAATTAATTTAGAAGTATTGCCTAAATTTGAGTGAAAAAATAAAAATGTCAAATATGTGCTGAATCTAAGTTTATAAAACATCCTTATAAGTCTGTTAAAAGGAATTCAAATCCTTTAGACTTAATTCATACTAACATTTGTGATTAGAAGTCAACACCATCTCGTGGTGAAAAAAAGTATTTTATAACTTTTATTGAAGATTGTACTCGATATTGTTATGTTTATTTGCTTAATAGTAAGGATGAAGCAATTGAAGTATTTAAGCAATACAAAAATGAAGTGGAGAATCAATTGAATGAAAAGATTAAAATGATTAGAAGTGATAGGGGTGGAGAATATGAATCTCTATTTGCATAAATATGTTCGGAATATGGAATTATCCATCAAACTATTGCTCCCTACACATCTCAATCCAATGGAATTGCGCAAAGAAAAAATCGGACATTAAAGGAAATGATGAATGCCTTATTGATAAGCTCCAATTTACCGCAAAATTTGTGGGGGGAAGGGGGGGGGGGGGGGGGGGGGGGAAGCTATCCTTACAGCTAACCGAATACTCAACAGAGTATCCAACAAAAAAATGCAATCTTTCCATATGAAAAATGGAAAGGAAGAAAACACAACTTGAAATATTTCAAACTGTGGGGATGTTTAGCAAAGGTACAAGTAACTTTACCCAAAAGGGTAAAGATT